CTGGCTGACTGTGCGACCAATCATCATCATCATCATCATCATCATCATCATCATCATCATCATCATACCAGTCTTTCAGGTATAAATAATACACCTTAGTACTACAGTTAATAGTGTTTCTTTCATTGAAACTGTATACTTGAAAGAATTTCTAAACTCAGATTTGAACAATCTCAAACCATTCTTTGGATCTGAACAATGCATTTCTCTAGTTAAATAACTAAATACAGGAATACAGCTTAGGTCCAAGTATTTGAACACTCAAATTTGGATTCATGGATTTAATATCTGAAACCCAGTGCTGAAATATATTAAAAAGATTAAGGGGCAATAATGGTATATAACTCCCACTTATCAAGAAATTCCTAGTTCAGAGTTTAAAATGTCATAACATTTCATTGTGTTATTTTATTTTAGATTTATGGATTTGTCATGTCCTTTGAGAATATTATAGAGATGCTTCCCCCAGGCAGAGTAAGAAAAATATCATCTAGCAAAGGGCCATAACTTCTTTTAAGAGTTGGAATGTACTCTAATGGCAAATGTGATCTGCTGACAATAGACTTCTCATAAATGCAGCATTTGACTTGAACAAGCTATTGTTCCTTGTCACAAACACTTCTCACTGAAACACTGACATTCTAATAACTTTAAAGCAAAACTGATACACACTGGAAGTTCTCTGATATACTGCTAGAGGCCAGTCACAGCTAACCCAACTCACTAGCCACAGCTCTGAAGCCACCCACCCTCCCTGCACCTTCTTCCTGTATCCCTTTGGTCTGCTTTCATGATACCTACGGACAAGGCATGGACTATGATCTGGTCTGGTGAGGCTGGGGCCGCAGCAGCTGTCAGAGTCACAGTGGGGCTGGTGGTTAGTGTCAAAGGCAGGCCTTGGGTTGAGCTAGTCTGGAGTAAATAAGTGCCTGGAGTTCCAGTTGGCTGTAGATGAAAAGACTAAGAACAGAGGAGAGAAGGGCAAGAGGAGAAGTTACATGTTTAATGGCCACCTCAACCCTGTTCATTCCAAGTGAGACATCAAAAAGAAACTCGACTCAAAAAGAAGTTATAAAAACATAACTGAAACAAGGTATTAAAAACTAGGTATCTATACTGTCTACATTTTTCCTTGCAAACAACTCCAGATTGGTTAATGTGAATGTATTTCTTTACTACATTTTCTCCATTATTTAGACAAAAATATCAGGCTTATGAATGGACCTCCATTTTCTCCTCAGAATAACAGGAGAGGCGATTGGGACTAGAACAGTGATGAGTTCAAAGTTTCAGCTTGTGAAAGTTCAGTGTTTTAGCTACTCTGTGCTGCTCATTTATTATAAAGAAAGGGAAATAGTTGCTTGATAACTGTTCTCTCTAAGTTCCAGGCACGGCTTTTAATAATAAGATACCTCTTTTGGAATTCAGTGGGACTTAGGAATGTCGCCTCAAATATGCAAAATGCAGGGACAGTGAAACTGTTACAATCACTTTACATTGTTTTAAAATCTTCAGAACTATACTACATGACCTTTTGGTAACTGCTTCTATATATTCAGGGGGTAGTGGTGGTCAGAAGTCCATCAGTTCAGCTTTAGCTGATACACCAGTTTCATTTTTTGAGGGAGAAGGATGAGGCTAAAAGCTTCATATGCCATATGCTCTTGTGGGGGTGTCCTTGAAGGATGTTTGGAAACGATATGACTGTCTTCTATGATAGAATAGACAATAGTGATCTTAGGGCAATTGTAGTTGGTTGCCAATCACTGTTCTGATTCAACTCAATGTCTTGGTGCTTTCCTAATAAAGCTCCAGTTGGGACAATGATATCTCAAGAACATTGGCTTTCACATAAGCCCATCATCAGCATTCCCACTTTGGAGGTGTTGAATTACAATGCTTAGTGTTCTCAGTTTGGGGTCATACTAGCTGAGAACTCTGGGAGTTGTATCCCCAATACATCTGGAAAGAGCATCTGAATGGGAGATGCTGATATAGATACATGTTCTACTTTGCACTAGAACTTTTAATATGTTAAGATCTTTAACTACAAAAAGGTAAAAACCACTTCAGTGCAGTATAATCAAGTAAACTCCATAATACCTACTGGCAAAATCTCAAAGGTCTGTAATGTTCCACTATTTAGTGTTATAGTTTCAGAGTCAACAGAAGCAGCAGGGGATTCGGCAGAAGCTATATGAGAAAAAACACAATAAAACAAAACAGGACCAAAGGTTCAAATCAGTAAATAAGCCCTGAGCATATTAATTGACAAGAGAATGTAAAATAGAACATGCACCAAAGGATGATTCTCCCAAGTTGTGAAACCAGGAACAAGGAAAGGAACATTGTATATTAAAAAGCTACCGTTGCAAAAGGGTTGGGACAGCTTAATCGGGGTTTCTGGGAAGACTCCCACTGTGATTTATTCATTGGGCCAGATTTTGTTAGCTTCAGAGGAAGAATTAAATCTCAGTCAGAGGAGGAACAGCAGTCTACCTTGTGTGGAAACACACAAGTTATTTGAGTGCTGGCTCTGGCTCTCTTTCTACTCTCTCTCTGTGTATCTGTCCTCTACTCCCGGGTTCCTCAACCTTGGCAATTTTAAGTTGGGTGGACTTTTAACTCCCAGAATTCCCCAGCCCTGGCTGGGGAATTCTGAAAGTTGAAATTCACCTGTCTTAAAGTTGCCAAGGTTGAGGAACCCTGCTCTACTCAATCAATCTTCAGAGCCTGCAGAGATCAGATTCACTAACTATATAATAAAAGGTCAAGTCTCTGTAAAGTCAAGCTCCACTTTGAATAACCTCATGTCCATGATCATGTAGTCGTCTGGGCCATAGTACAGAATGCAATAATGTTAAAAATATTAGCAATGGTGACACATGGAATAGCATTTTAAAGAAGCAGCAAACATTTGCCATGTTCATGTTTGCAACTGTTTTGTATCTTGTTCTCCTCTTAGTCTAGGCAATACAGAAAGATTCAGTCCATAATATCACAAGGATTTGTTTAATTATCACTACTAGGATTCTTACACAGTCCTGGTCATCAGTTCAGTACCTCCATCATGAATCCACTCTAACGTCTACACAGCAGCCGCATTCAAAGAGCAAGGGAGCAACCATAGCTGTGACTTGACCATGTCTAGGAAGACTTTGCTGATACAGCCAGTGGCTCAGTGAATCTGAAAAGCCACAATATAAAATATGCAAGACTTTAAGCTTGCACAGACTAAAAGCAATTGGAGACACAGTGCTGGGTGATTCACTGCAGTATCTCTAAGAAAGAATCTAAGTTTTGACCGTATCAGCTGGAGAGAAAACGGAGAAAGGATAACAGAAGTGAGGAATGTATGTAAACAAGATTACACACATGGGAAGCATAGGAAAATTTCATTTGTAGATTTAAATACTGCCTTTCCTTCAGGAGCTCAGGTGGTCTACCCTCTTCTTCCATTTTTTCCAACAGCAAACCTGTAAGGTAGGTTGGGCTGAGAAATAATACTTGTCCCAAGTGAGCTTCCATGGCTAAAGACCAACACCTTCACCATTATACTACACCAACTCTCATTAATTTTCATATCTGAACATGCAACGCTTGTTCAACTTTTCATATCAACATAATTGTAACTGTGGTTACCACCATACCAGAAAAAAACAGCAATATCTATACTCTTATTAATGTTGCTCCTAGCACATCCTGAACAGAACATCCTAACTAAAGAAGAAATGTGCATATAGTAAAACCTGACTGGAGAAAGACACCAAGGCATGAGTTTCAACTACTTACAGACATGGGTGATCTGGACTGGAATCTGTAGGGCTGCCATGGGGCCAGGAGAATTGCCCGAATTTTCTTCCAAACGAGCCACTCGAATCTGGACATGCTGAACACCAGATCCAGAATGAGAGTTTGGCAACCCAGGTAAAGACTTACTCTCTGAAAGTTGGTGCCCTGGAGCATTTTTTTGGCTTTCATGAAGTTGTTTCAGACCTTTTATAAGAACTGGAACAAACAAAAAGTTATTCAGTGTTGCTGGAAACATTAAACAAAAGTAAATATTTATAATAAAAATAACAGCTGCCAAGAGCAATTGTACCTAAATTATGTATTAATGATAGCAAATTAGAGTGAACCAGATCCTAGACTAGTCTTGTATTTAACCACTTACTTGGTCATCTGGTGGTGATCAGCTATTTTCTCCAAGTGCTGTAGTAAATCTTTTAAATTGCAACTCTTTCAGATTTTGGAAGCCTTGCTTTGAGTTCAAAAGAGTTGTTTTGAGTTTGAAATGGGCTGTTTTAATCAATTTAGAAAGGCTGTGCTCAGAACTCTTCCATAAGGGTCACTTTGTGTGTGATGGGCAGCTATATAAATATGAATGAATGAATGAATGAATGAATGAATGAATGAATGAATGAATGAATGAATGATTGAAACATCCCATCTAAAATGTGAAACCACTCTTTTGAGTGAGAAACAGCAATTTAACAGTTCAGATGCAAACCTCCTTTGCCTGTTAACTTTCAGTTGAAGTTCAAGCCTTGTCCTCAGAGACACACTATCCTGTTGCTTTGATCCTCAATGTGAAGGGAGCCTAACTTGCAGGCTGGCATGCAAGAAGTATGGCTCTTAGTGCAAGTTCAAGCTCAAAATCAAGCAAGGAAACAGAAAGCCACAGCTTCTTGGCGTAAGAGGAGGCACCTTAATTGTGGATATAAGAAATTGGAATGATTCCCCATCCCTGAATTGTTACAAATTCAACCATTCTACATTTTAGTCAGAGAAACTTCCAAAGGTGTCCCTTGTAAGGAAAACATCAGGACTTTTCACAGATATGCATGAATATTCAAAGTCTCAAACTAAAGCAACAGTGCTAGAAATATTCCTGAGTCTTAAGTCCTAACCTTCTTTGAGATTTCCCTCTCCTACTTTAGCTCCAATCACTCAACCAACTGGAACACTATTAAGTTTGAACTGTGATGGAGAATTTATAAACTGGGGCAAGCCGAGAATAAACTTAACTCTTTACCAGGGAATGAAACCTCTTTGTGGTTTGCGATCTGCCTCTTGATAGTCCACCATTTACTACGAAGCCACTGGGGGGAGCGCACGCTACTCCAGCCTTCGGCCAGCAAATCCCAGTTGATATCATTTTCATCAGACACTTCTAGCTCTGCTATTCTGACAGGATAACAAGGAAAAAGGAATGTGTCAGAGAAGGCAATTGCTTCTAATGCAGAAATACCTCTTGATGTTCCTGCTCCCCTCCCCAATTTGTAAAATGTTATTGCAAAATCAGACCTCAAAAAGTAGCCTCCAGAGTGACTCCTAAGGGATTTACAACTTTTACAACAATATCAGCAGAGAGGCCACATGGTTGAAACAGCCTGGTGAATGAGCCACCCTCTATGAGGACTCATCTCAGGTTGTGGGAGATAGTTAGCATCATCAATTTCCCATGATGCTCCTCCTCAGTGTCGATAAGTAAACTGTTCATCTTGATTCCTCTTATAAGTATTAGCATTCAGGGTTTTTTTGAAGATTAGACAAAGCATTACAATTAAAATCTCTCTCAAGCCAACCCTGACTCCTGATGACAACCTGGATGCATCTATGTAGCTTTCTTGGAAAGAATACAGAAAGGATTTGCCACTGCTTGCTTCTGGAATATGTTTTATACTTCCCAGTCTAGTCTACCCTTTTTCTGATTTTTGTAGTGACCTCCCATCCAAGCACAAACTTTCCTTAGCCTTTTCTGAGGTCAGCCAAAGTTGGCAAGGTGCTGCCACCTACTGTAAATCCTGAATATTTCTGAAAACTTGGAGCAGAGAAGACATTGTCGGGAGAGGTTTCCACAACATTTCAGTACTTTAAAAGTAAACTCTGGGAGTGCTGGACTCCCAGTATCTATTATTCCAGTCTCTCCCGCTGCCCCGCTGCCCATCCTTTCCAAGTCAAGTGGTGCAAACCTAAGAATCAGGTTGATTTCATCTTCCTTCGTCCATTCAGTGCCTCCACTCTGCTTCCAGTTCAGGTAGTTGAGCCATTTGGAGCGGCACTGCTTTTCTGACCGGGTTCCCACACGTTCTGCCACAGCAGCCCAAGATACCCCTTGCGTGACAATGTCCCCAGGCTCTGTGCTAGTTAATTCATGGACAACTTCTGCTAGTCTCTTTTCTTCTTCTTCTGTCCATTTCCCTGAATTAAAAACAATCCAAGAGATAGCGCATGGCATGGCATGGGAATGAAAAACACTTCATTCAGAGCTAAGCCCAACATTTGCAGTTTATTCTTTCTCCTTATTTTGTTATTTTTATTGTGGGGGAGAGACTAGAGAGGCTTCTGTACCTCCTGATTTTCCAAAATAGCTTTCTGTCCTGTTGATCAGGACCTGTTCAGCAGAAGGCAGTGACTGGGACCAAAGAGAGTTGAAAAACACCAATATCTATAGTAGAAATGGGATAAGCAAAGTAGAGCCTTCCAGATCTGTATCCTAGTCTTCGGGTTACAAGGGTGATTGGGACCAGAATTTCCATCACTAAGCAATGCAGTCGTAAAGCATGACATCACGTGACCAGCCGCTTAGTGATGGCAATCCCGGCAGTCCCTGTTGCAGTCATTAAGCTGATCAGGCCAGAGCTGACAGAATTTATAGTTGCCAACTCTATCTATTTTACACTCCTGTTAAATAGATAGAAAAGCCGTAATTTAGCCAATTTCTATAAGGCACATTTCTTGTGCCATGCCATTTTTTTTTTTAACACTGTAAGAGGTAACAGTAATCTGACAGATGAAATACTGTATAAGAAGCAACAGATCCCAGAGGAAACATCTCCTTATCAGTAGCTCTTGCTAATCACCATGTTAGGAAACAATGAAACTTTGTGGTCAGTCAACTGCAGCCATAACACAAGAAGGTTTCAATGATTTATGGTCAGATTTATTTATTTATTTATTTATTTATTTATTTATTTATTTATTTATTAATTAGATCAGGAGGATATACTGGAGACCCAGGCAGACTGATACAGTGGGTAAGGAAGGACAGAGCTACATCTCAGCATCCCACATGATAAGGCGTTCTCAGGCACATTGTTCACTGTGGAAAAGAGGTGGTGACAGGAACCATGTTCCCATAAGGCAACAAATAGAATGAATTCTGGATGTACCATGGACAGCTCCTTGCAAACCACCAATGTGCTTGGGAGGGGAAACCAGGAGAAGACAGACAATGTACTTGCTAATACACAAACAATTCAGAAGATATGGAAGGTCTGAATCTTTCCCAGAACCAGTTGACAGAACCCTATATTCTAATATCCTATAAAAAGCCTAATAACCTAAAGCTCATATTTATTAGAGTGTGCAAAGCATCCAGAAGAGGTGTTTTGCAAAGGATGTTAATCTGAATGAAGCTCCTCTCTTCAAATTGTTAAAAGCAGCTATGTATTTTGAATAATTCATGATTTCTTTGAAAGTGTTCCCTGGCTTTCTATATATGAATGTCCATGCCAAATTTGCTTTGTTTACAGGTCCATCAGAAGGGTCCCTGCATGCACAGACAACTGGGAAAAGGTTTTGAAGCAACTGCACTAGCCTTGCAAAGGAAACAGCTGCTTTAATACCTTGAAGAGAGGTGCATTTTCATGTTAACACACATTGCAAAACATCTCTTTCAAAAGCTTTAATCGTTATTTATTTGGTAAATAAATCCATAAAACCATTTTGAAAGGTATGGCGTTAAAGATATTTTCTTTAAGCCAATTTATGCACTGGTGAAGCCAGCTACCTTGGCAAAGCCATTATACAGGCATAACCAGCTTTTCTTTGGCAGTTATTTTAAGAGCTGTACCTGTGTTGCAAGTGTCCTTCATCAGCCTGCACCGGTCTTTTACTGACGAAGCGCTTCGACCAAGAGCAGCTCCTATTGTTGCCCAGTCATTACCATGCTTTATTCTTAATCTAAAGGGAAAAGCTATTAGTTCTGTTCATCAGGATTAAGAAGACCAGTTATTGCACAGTGTTACATTGATGGGAATAAGAGCAAAAAGCCAAGATAATCACTCCAAAATGTTGTTTTCTATAAATAAAGTACAGTATTCCGTACAGTACAAGAGTTTACTTAGGCTTGAGGTTTTTAAGAAAGAATGGGATAAGGATCCCACACAAATAGTTGCACCAGTTCCTAACACAGAGAAAACTTAAAATATAATATAAAATCTATCATTGACCCTTTTGCTTTTACTTCTCAAATTACTGCATCGTTATTTTTTTGTAAGATTTAAATTGTTTCTTGACAGTAGTCATAACTATGAATCAAAATAGCAAAGCAGTTTCAGTCTATTCCTTTGCATATAATCCTCTTAGGATCAGTCCTGCCTCTCAACTGAATGGGGCAAGCCATGCATAAAATCAGTTGCTCTTACGGGTCCAGAAAGAGCATTGGAAGTTGGCTTATGATCCTGGAGGCAAGGCCTGTTTTGTGCCAGTTAGCTGGAACTCAAAGAGGAAATTCACTTTCTTGCAAAGGACAATAAATTCTTTACAATCAATCATGATACATTAAAAAAAGAAGCATTTGTTTTTCTGGCAATAAAAAATAAGATAGGGAAGATCCATTTTGAGAGATATCTCATATTAAGAGGGTACATCAGTATTTTTATATTGTATTTTAAATGATTTTATCTCTGCTGTAAACTGCTCAGAGTCGTTTCAATGAGATGGGCGGTGATAAATTACATATACATATACATATACGTATTTTAAAAAAATCTACATCACTCTTAAGTGATTGGCTACTAATCCCAGCATTCATAGTTAGTTAAGTTGGGCCTGACACCAGATGAAACAATTCGACTGAATTCATTCTCTGCACCTAAGAATGTGGTAGTCTACCCCCATCCTCAAGAAACCATTGCTGGACCCTATCGTGATAGATAATTTCCAACCTGTCTCCAGCCCTTCCTTTTGGGGGAAGGTTGCTGAGAAGCTGGTCAGCCTGCAGCTTCAGAGAGCTATGAAGGGGGCTGATTATCTGGACCCCTTTTGGTTGAGATTCAGGACTGGACACAGTACTGAAACGACGACACCAGAGAAATAACATGGAATCAAATAGAGTAGTTTTTTTTCAACTTGTGTTCTGCAGAATCCTAAGATTCTGTAAGAACTTGATGGGGTTCCACAAGAAACTAAGGGCAACAAACAAACAAATTTAAATGCAGCCAATTTTCTATCAGTAGAGCTTTGCCTCTTGATCAAAGGCTCTGGGATTATTATTTTTCTTAGTTAAGAGGTTCTGCACCCTGAAAAAGCTTGAAGGCCTCTGACAGAGAACAGGTTACTGTCGGCCCCTTTGAGGGAAGGAGGTGTCTCCACATCCAGATTTAACCCAGAAGTGGCTCCTCCATCCGTTTTCTATAGCTCCCGCCAGTATTCTTTCCACACTGCTACAGGGATGAGGCAATCATATTGAGGTGACTTTTGGAGGAAGATGCAATGGGATGCCAAAAAAAAAAATGCTGAGTTTTTTGTGACTGAGTCACAGTAATCAGCTGTTCCCAGGGCATCCTTGTAGCCTCCCTCTTTTCACTTTTGAGCAGTTGTCTGTATTGCTTTTTTAGATATAGAGGGATGATGGAGGAATCTCTATATTCCTGACATACATTAACGAGAGATTTTTTGGCATTTATACAGCCAGCATCAAATCAGGTCTATGAACAGTAGACAGCATCTTGGTCTTTCTGCAGATTCCTGGTAACTAAGCCTGGCTGTGACATACAGCATGAACTTCTATATGACATAGAGCACAGATTTAACAAAGCCTTTATAATCAAGTTATTTGCCTCAAACACAGCTGAAAGGTCTCCCCTAAAGCCCTATGCAAATAGAGAGACTTTTGGAGAGCATTTAATTCACACAATCCATTTTGATGTTTCTTTTTTCTCTTGAATATCAATTCATGAATCTCTAAGATTAAACCAAGCTTCTAGAGTGGGATATGAACTATTGGCAAAATCTGATTAAAATAAAACTTACTCTTTGAGCTTTTCAATTTCTTCAGGAGTATACCTGTTAAATATTTAAACAGCATATTTAATGAAGATATAAACATACACACATTATACAAATACATCTTGGTCCATTGTCTTGAGCTTGGAGCAAAAAGCCATGAGTTCTCCCATTCTTTACCATATTGCACATAATTTGCTAGTTTCCCACTGTGGGAAATCATGATTTTAATTACGATCAATAGGAAAGGAAGCTGCGTAATCTGCTCCTTGTCACTATAGCAGGAAACTAGCAATCAGTTCTTCACGGTCTCATGGTCATTCAAGCCATACTTTTCAGCCAGGGCCTACTGTATATATTACACATTCCTATTTTAGAAGAACACAATCTTACTTAAAGCAGATTAAATACTATTCATCCATGTGGAGACACCACCAATGAACATCTCTTCCATCTTGTCTGGATTGGTACTCAGGATATTTATTACAGGAATGGGCAGAAGTTAAATTTGGATCTACTCACAGATCTTCAGGTGAAATTCAGTACATGAGAAAAGACCTCTGATTCTCAAATGTTTTGCCTTAACAATAACAATAATTGCCCAGAGTCACTTTTTGTGAGATGGGCAGCCATATAAATGTGATTAATATTTTTTAGGTCTCTACTCTTCAAGCTAGAACTTCTTGCCCTGAGCATCAAGCTATTCACAACTCAAAATCCTACCATTCAGGTCAAACATTAGGAAGTTTCATACTTGCCAACGTGGTTTCGGTCATCATACATGCGAAGTACTCGTCTATAAACAGCAAAGAGAGGCCGGTTCAAACCCCATGCAATGGTCCTGTAGAAATCTTTCCTTTCATCTTTTGACATCTCAAAGATGATTTCAGTGGCATCTTTTATTCCACGTGCCTAGTCACATTAAGAGTGGAATGACAACTTAATTCACCTGACAGTAAATGAAAACTGATTTTTCAGGATAGTCTTCTGCAAATGAGTTGGGCGTTTTAAAACTCTAATCAATCTTAGCCAGCTACTGTTCGTGATAGCAAATGGGAGTGCAGGACAATCACCTCTGAAGGGGGTGAAGAAATAAGGCAGGATCTGATTTTGCATGTTTAAGAAGGCTGCTAAATAATAAAGACCTTTTATTATTGCTCGATTATATAATACTTGTAATGACTATACATTTAATATGAGACTAAATTGAGAAGGCAGCAGTGTTTTTTGCTTTTTAAAAAATAACAACTAGCAACCTGAAAAAGGTGCAAAATTCATTTCAGTTGAAATCAAATTTGGGAGAAATGAACTTCTCTTATTTCTAATGGATCTTAAAAGTCAAAACAAGGGTGTTCGAATCGATAATCTTTTTTTTTTAATTATGAAATGAAATTTATTACAACAGATCTACCTAAAAAGTTCTTTATAGCTCTCTCTTATACGGAAAACAAGCTGCTTAATGAATGGAATGGCATTCTTAAGTACTTTTAAAGAAAAGGCTGAATCAGCGTCAATCAGGGTGAAGCTGGGGTTCAGGATGTCCTGATTTAAGATCCATTGGATTCATTGCCAACTACAGTACTAAGTCCTTGAATTAATGCTATAAGGAGGATGGACAATCCCATTTTAAACAAAAGCACCATTCGCAATTTAGTTAAATAGGTAAATAAACAGTCTGGATGCTGTTTAACCAGACCCACTGTTGCATAAGCTCCTGCAAATTCAGGTAAAGAGGAAGTTCTCTCCACATATTGAGCTAGAGGGACTTAGAAGTTTTCAGAAGTAAGTTTTCATGAAATTGGGGGCTACAGCAGAGAACATGGAAAAACCCTACAGTGCAAATGGAATCCCACTGATGAAAGTTCTGAAACTCATCAGATAGAAGAGGCCAACTTCTGAAACTAGGAGGCATATTGACAGCAACACAAACCTTTAAATAACGCTCAATGTTACTCATCAAAATCTCAATTTCTTCCTTCGACCACATTCCCTGTTTCCACTTATGACCTTGAAAATGGAGAAGAATCTGTCACACAAAGACACCCTACTAGTAGTTAAGCTTATGGGGAACAATTAACACAGAGAAGCGGAGGGGGTTTATTTAGACCCACTACTAATCAAGCAAATAAATTTTAGTAATTGATTGGAGCCACTACAGCATCATTTTTTAATGTAATCTGACAGAGAATGGTAATTATTGGGTGGATTAAAATATAATAAATAAGATATGATAATTAAATCACAGTATAAGTTTTCCAATGATTTTCCAAGTGAGCATCATGCAAAGTGGCTTTAAATCTGTGCACCCAATTCAACAAATACTTATCAGTAAACTTTTCATACACACAACAAATTAAATAGTATATGTACACAAATGTTGATGTTTAGCACTGATGATTAATGCCTCAAAGTGTAAATGAAGAGTTTCTATTATTTATAGACAAGAATAAAATGTAAATGCTGGAATGACATAGAAACCATAAAAATACAAGCTATAAAAGTTCTTTGGCTCTCATTATAAAAAAAGCTAGCATGTTTTCCTCAAATTATTTTAATAAAACAGATTAATTTATATCAAAATAATGTCATACTTTTTTGTCATGTACATTATGCACCAAATATTCACAGGTATTCATCCTATGGAAGATACAAGGATGCCTTCCACAATGAGAAAATGTAAACTTGCCTTTGTTAGTTAAGCAGTCCTTGTCCTCTTTGGTTGTAAACCAGGCCTGACTCACTGCAGATACTTCTTCATTGGCTAGAGAAGAGATTTCATCCAGTTGCTCATTCTGAAGAATCTGGGAGAGGTAAATGGGAGAGGAGGCCTTTAAACTGATATTCAGGCTCATAAGTAAAGAATGAAGATGACCTACATATATACTCTTCCAGTTGGTGATGACTGGGGAGAAGTCCTGCCCCTGGCCCCTACTATGTGGGGTGCCCCAGGGGTTGGTGCTTTCTCCTCTCCTTTTTAACATCTACATGAGGCCACTGGGTGAGGTATAATCAATATGCTGTTGATTCTCAATTATGTATCTCCACTCCTGGAATTAAGCAATGCCATGAATGTCTTATCCCGGTGTCTGGAGGCTGTGAGGGTCTGAATGGGGAACAGCAGGCTTCAGCTGAACCCTGGCAAGACTGAGTGGCTGTGGTTTTTGGGGCCTGGTGGTTCCAGGGCTATGACATCTTTGGCCCTGGATGGGGTTGCACTACCCCAGACATACCCCGTGTGCAATCTGGGGGTCCTCCTAGACTCATGACTCCTGCTTGATGAGCAGGTGGCAGTCGTGGCTAGGAGTGCCTTTACACAACTCCAACTTGTGTGACAGTTGTGCCTGTTCCTGGAGCAGCGGGCTCTGCTTACAGTCATTCATGCCCTGGACACCTCCAGATTGGATGTGCTCTACATGGGGCTGCTCTGGAAGAGTATCTGGAAGCTTCAGCTGGTTCAGAATGCAGTGGCGCAGTTATGCGTGCTCCAAGAACAGCGCATGTTACACCTCTGCTCTGCGAGCTGCGTTGGTTGTCAGTTTGCTTCCGAGTCCAATTCAAGGTGCTGGTTTTAACCTTTAAAGCCCTTCATGGTATGGGACGTGGTGACGCAGTGGCTTAATGACGCTGAAAGTTGCCGGCCAGAAATGGTCGACGCTTCAGCGGTTTGAGTCCAGCCTTCGCGTTAACAGGGTGAGCTCCTGTTTCCAGTTCCTGTCAACCCAACAGTTCGAAAACTCACGTGAGTAGATAAATGGGTACTCTCACT